CCTTTGGGGACCCAGGAGACCTCAAAATGTGGAGGTAAATGCACCTAAAGAACATAATAGAGCATAAAATCCGATCCCTAGGGACCAGACTTTGCCCATCTGTGATCTAGATCAATATTGTTTAGGGCAAGGGAACCTTTAGCTCCCCAGCCAGTGCTGCACTGCAGCTCCCATAATCCCTTACCATTGATTCTGCTACCAAAGACTCATGGGAGCTTGAGTGTAACAACATCTGTAGTTCCATATGTTTTGACTGAAATAGGGACTAAATCCAATTGTTATTCCCATTGTTAAATCCAGTTGTTATTCCTATTGAATCAATCCGAATTTGGCAACTCAGCCCTTGCTTAAATTTATCAATCTAATGCGTCCATTCTAGTTGTGACTAAAATTTAATTTAGGCCCAATATCAAACAGGGGTCTTTTCCTAGCAGAACCAGGATTGAACCCATGACTCTCAGCACACAAACCATAGACTCCACTACTGAGCTAAGTGTTCTCTGGAACTACATCATTTACTTCATTCTTCCAACATCCGTTTTCTATTCCTTTATGGGCTGATAACATTTAAAAGGGAGTGGTTTAATAGCATCCATTTAGAAACAGACAAATTGCAGGGGATCATTATATGTTTTCAAAACAAATCTAGATTAAAATAGGCCACTTTGCAACAATTTTTACTGGGAAAGGGAACAGGCAATCCTTTTATCGACAGTAACCATAGTTAGCATGGAGTGAGTCACTTCAAAAGGGGGGAAAATACGTAAAACAAAATATTTTCCTGCTTTGAAGCCAGAAGACTGCAGGAACACATCCGTTTATAGTAAAACCCGAGAAGAGATTTAATAGCATTTGACGATAAGCTTGTTAAAAGCCAGCAGAGCCTGGCTGCCAGGTTTATTAGTCTAATAGCAGCAAAATTAATCACAAAATGGGGAAATAAAGGGTCTTCTAAAGTTGTGGGTAGGCTGAAGAGTCGCAGTAATAACCTGTTAGCCCTAGATACCAAAATATCCATTTTGCAGTGAACCATCAGAGGAGGATACCAAGCAAGATGACTAGCTAAATAGTGAACCCTTGCTAATGGAATTGTTTGGTTCTCTCCAGTAGCTTTTAATGTAAATTTATTCAAGCTGATTTTTCAGGAAGTACAAGGGTGCAAATCTGGAAAAAAAAAAGTACTTGTCAAAATGATTATTCTGCTACCAAGACTGGTAAGAAGAGGAAGTGGACCCAATTTTCTGCCTGCTTTCTCAGAGTTTTTTTCATCAATCTGTGTGTGATGTCACATGTCAGCACCATCCAGGATGTTTGGTTTAGAGGGATATAGGTAGTTAACCTCGGGTAACATCTTCATCTGAAAATACCAAAAGGTTACAAGGCAAACAGTGGATAGACACACATTTTCTTTTCCATGCACAGTTGCATGATATATAAATACAAAGAGTGCTAGAAGGTCACTGGTTTCCGGTACGAGCTGATTTCCTGAGCTACTATCTTACTTTTTTTTCAAGAGAGTGAGTTGAGTGTAAAAAAAAACCTTCTCAAAACAAATGAAAGAAAACCCCTGGAGTTTTTCTGGTTTTGTTGCAAAATATCTGTCCCAGAAGTAAAAAAAGAGAGCACTTGTAGGGTTGGGAAAATAAAAAGTTTATGAAATACTCAAGATGTATTAGAAAAACGTGCAAAGATACAGAACAGGGGAAACCTGGCTCGACAATAGTACATGTGAAAAAGCCTTGGAGTCTTTGTGGACAAGTTAAAGATGAGCCAACAATGTCTATGTGGTGGCAGTGGGATTTTGGCCTGCATAAATAGGAGTCTACTGTTTAGATCCAGGGAAGTCAGCTACCCCTCTATTCTGCCTTGGTCAGACCTCACCTGGAATGTTGTGTCAGTTCTGGGCAATTGAAGGGAGATGTTGATGCTAAGCTGGAATGTGTTCAGAAGAGGGCAACTAAAATAATCAAGGATCTAGAGAACAAGCCCTATGAGGAACAGTTTAAAGAGTTGGGCATGTTTAGCCTTTAGAAGAGAAGGCTGAGAGGAGACATGATGATAGCCATATATAAATATGTGAGGGGAAGTCATAAGGAGGAAGGAGCAAGCTTGTTTTCTGCTGCCCTGGAGACTAGGACACAATAGAACAATGGCTTCAAACTACAGGAAAGGAGATTCCACCTGAACATTAGGAAGAACTTCCTGGCTGTGAGAGCCATTCAGCAGTGGAAATCTCTTCCCCGGAGTGTGGTGGAGGCTCATTTGGAGGCTTGTAAACAGAGGCTGGATGGCCATCTGCTTTGAATGCGATTTTCCTGCTTCTTAGCAGAATGGGGTTGGACTGGATAGCCCATGAGGTCTCTTCCAACTCTATGATTCTATGGTTAGAAGTCTACGTTATTGTTAGGTGTATGGTGACCTCATGAATTCCATAGGTTTTGAGTGCAACTACACCATAGAACTAATGCAGTTTCACGCCACTTAAACTGCCATGTTCAATGCTATGGAATCATGGAATTTGTAATTTTATCAGGTTGTTAGCTTTCTCTGCCTAAGAAAACTGCTTCTTCCCAAACCAGATCCATGTATCCATGGAGGATACCTTCCCAGTTACCTTAAACTACAGATTTGACCGAGTGCTGAAGATCTTGTAAAACTATAACTGCAATGATTCCATAGTATAAAGCCAGGGCAGTTAAAGTGGTATCAAACTGTGTTAATACCACAGTGTAGATGCAGTCTTACTTGTGTAGTACAAAACAATCCCATTTTGGGGTGTGTATCCATACAAAAGCAGGAGATCAGAGGAAAAAGAGGGGGACGACATTCTCTTAAGGAACACGGCTACAGCCCTGGTGAGAAGTATTCCAGTCTAAAATATAAAGTACCTATTCAGTGGCACATCTTGCATGCGTCAGGCATGCAGCTTGGGAACATCGGATCTCTCACAGACGCACACCGGGCGGCTCTGCACCATTAGGCAGACAAAATGAGTTTGAAGGATAATGTGGTATCGCTCAAAAGGGAAATTAAATGCTGTGAAATACAGCGTTGCTGTAGTGTTACAAAGCTGTCGCTAGGTGGACACCAAGACTATACTGCAATACTGGTCAAATTTTCTTTCTTTTTTTAAAGGCTTTTTGTTTCTTCGGTTTTGCAAAAGGCACAGTTTGGTGCATCTGTGAATAACAAGCTGAGGTTGCTGTGGTCTTGTCTAATCAAAAGGAGATGTTTAGTTGTTGGGAACATTTAATCGCTTGCCGTGTTTAAGGAAGGGCTACCCACTTCCTTCTGAAGCTGTTTGTTCATTTAGATCATCTCCAGAAATCCCCCTTTCTGGTTACAGATCACAAGTTTTTAGTTCAATCCTTGATGAAAACTGGGGGTATATTTACACTTATAGAATTAATACAGTCTGGTTATTTATTTATTTATTTATCGTATCAGAAGTGAACCAAGGTTACAGTTGTATTTTTAAAAAAACCCACAAAGGTTGAAAACTTGGCATTATATTAAATGTCCTTTGACCAGAAGGTGGCCACTTGGAGTGCCTCTGGTGTTACTATAAGAAGGTCCTCCATTGTGCATGTGGCAGGGCTCAGGCTGCATTGTAGCAAGTGGTCTGTGGTTTGCTCTTCTTCATACTCGCATGTCGTGGACTCCACTTTGTGGCCCCATTTCTTAAGGTTGGCTCTGCATCTCATGGTGCCAGAGCGCAGTCTGTTCAGCGCCTTCCAAGTTGCCCAGTTTTCTGTGTGCCCAGGAGGGAATCTCTCATTTGGTATCAGCCATGGATTGAGGTTCTGGGCTTTAGCCTGCCACTTTTGGACTCTTGCTTGCTGAGGTGTTCCAGCTAGTGTCTCTGTAGTCTGGTACCACTTTAAGTGCATGGCTCAGTGCTGTGGAATTTGGGGCACTTCAAGGTCTTCCAATTTCCTTGTCAAAGAAGTTTTGATCCTTCGCCAGACTGCAACTCCCAAGTTTGCATAGCATTGAACCATGACAGTCAATGGTTGGGAAGTAACACTATTTTTATAATGCAGATGCACCCTCTGTTTCCCAGGCCCCATCTATACTGCCACATAATGCAGTTTCAGATTTCAGATTAACTTCATTGAACTGATTTATATGGCAATGCAGACTCATAATCCAGTTCAGTGCAGTTCAGATTTCATTATATGAGTCTACACTTGACCAGTTCAAACATGAGAGTGTTTGTATTTACTGATGCCATCATTGCTTTCATTCAGCATAATAAGGAGGTAAAGCAAACAAAATAACAACAAGCCTTTTTTAATGTTGATAATGGTGATGAAGGCTCCATATTTACTTTATTACCTGATTTACTTGTCTCCTTTTCTTTGCCACCTTTAACTAGATGTTTTGTTTGAGTAATTTGCTGCAATGGCCGTAAAACTCAAACATTGCTCTCACTGAACTTCATAATCCTAGACCAAGCTATGACCCACAAACCAATGGGCCAGCCTTTGGTCCTCCCAAGTATTTTGGACCTCAGTTCCCAGAATGCCTGAGCATTGGACAAGCTGGCCAGGGCTTCTGGGGGTTGAAGTCCCAAATACCTAGGGGACTAAAGGTTGGACACCACTGCTTAAGACTTTTGTTGGACTGTAACAGCCAACATCCCCCATCATGGACTGTGTTGACTATGGTTGCTTGGACATACAATAACATAACCTTGGGTTGTTGTTTATTTGTTCCATCGTTTCCGACTCTTTGTGACCTCATGGACCAGACCACACCAGAGCTCCCTGTCAGCCATTGCTACTCCCTGGTCCTTCAAGGTCAAGTCAGTCACTTTAATAACCTCAGGAGGCCCACAGAATTCCCATCCCTGTGTGTGGCAGTGGCTTCTGATCGCTAGTTTTGAAAGTAAATGGGTAAAAAGTCCCTTGAAGTCACAGATTTTGCAATATGTTATGTGCATAACTTTTTTTTCCTTTTCTCTTCTTCCAATTTAATTATGTTTATCTCCCTTTCAGGCCAAGGGCTGCTTTGTTGAACTTTTCCTCCCATTTTCTCAATTCTAACTCTGCTGTGTCATCATGAGGAGACATTATCAGCTTGGCGCCTGAGAAGCGGATTTCATTGACTGAAGAACTATTTGGTAGTTTCCAAGGCAACTACCTGAAGAACCATTTTAAAAAATCCCAAAACGACAGAAGGCTTTTGTATGAGGTGAAAGGTTGTGTACACTTCTTTCATCCACTCCATCTTCCCTTTTTTTGGAAAACAAATTGTTTTGTTTCTTCTCAAGAACGTTTCCATCTTTTACTACTGAGAATCTTTGAAGTCTAGCCAGGAGGTTGATTATACAATGGAGAATTGGACCAAATCTCATGGGTCATCACAAAGAAATGGCCTTATGGGAGGAAGAATCCCTCCTAAATCTTCAACCTTGAAAGAGAACAATCTCCAGGTACCTCCGTGGATGAGGTCATTCTTTGGAAATGATCCCAGATCTTCTACTGCCTTCTGGATCCATGTTAATTTATGACTCCTTCAACCAGGTGTTTCTCCAACCTGCCTTGATTTCCAACAATGGTAGCTCCTTCATACAACTCCTAGACAATCTGTTTTATTACATTACCTAGTTGTTCCTAATTTCTAAACTTTGGAACTCATTTTATTTTGCCCACAATTGACCGAAAGATCTGATCATCATTTTCTTCAAGACAATCCAATCTGTTATGGTTTCCTCACTGTCGTCTCCAAATTAAGCAAGTTTCTGACTCCAGGCTTCCATCACAATGCCCTGCCATTGTGGTTCAGGAGTGTAAGTGGCCAGGCGCTTGTTGCTATGGCCTACTATTGTGATGTGGCCAGCATTGTGGAGCAGCTCAGTGGAGTAAATTCCTGTCTTCTGTTAGTCAGAAAGACTACTTCAGGTTGGAGTTTGGAGAAAGGCTCAGACAGCTTAGAAGATAATGGTGGAAGTCCATCCTTTTGTGCTACTAAAGGTAGGACTAAAACATCTATGTTAAGTCCACAATTATTCATGTCTTAGTCCTGGCCTAAGTAGACTACTGCACTAAATGGAGTTGCCCTTAACATGTTTTGGGAAGCTGCAGCTTGTATAAATGAAGACTTGTGTTGTGTCTGCTTTGGAAATAATAATAATAATAAAAAAAACTTTATTTGTACCCCGCTACCATCTCCCCAAGGGACTCGGTGCGGCTTACATGAGGCCGAGCCCACAATACTTCAGCAAAAACAACAACAATATAAAACAATAAAATGAAATAAAATAAAATGAAATATTATTCATAAATAATACATAACACCATGCTTACAAGAACCGTAACTTCCATCACAATGGCCTAATTGTAATTTAGGAGTTTGTGTGGCCATGGGTTTGTTGCCAGGGCTTACCATTGTGATGTGGCCAGTGTTGTGTCAGCTACTTGGCAGCTCTGAGAAGCAAATACCTGTCTTACTCTAGTCGACAAGTTGTTTGGAGTATAGAGAAGAACTTCAGACTGCTTAGGAAATAATGGTGGAGGTTCATCCTTTTGTGCCGCTAAAGGTAGGACTTTAAAAAATCTGTGTCTTCTATGACCACAGTGGTTCATGCTTTAGTCCTGGCTTCATTAGACTACTGCTCTTGAAATGTGTTGGAAAGGGGCGGTTAGTAGATGCTCAATAGAGAGATCCCATAACACCAGGCTTGCAAGAATTGTGCTATCTTCTAGACTGTTTCCAAACTGAATTGGAGGTACTGGTTTTGACCATCAAAATCCTAAAGGACTTGGGGCTAGGATATCTGAAAGGTTGCCTCTTCCCATACGAGGCTGTCCAGAATATGAGAACTTTCTTGGAAGCTTAGTTGTGTGCCTCAACGTCTCAAGAGATTAGGTTATCTGAAACCTAATGGGGCTATCTCTGGAGCAGCCCGCTGACTGTAGAAATCTCTGCCAAAGGGGTTAAAATGCCCCCATCTTTTTTGATCTGCTGATGGGCATCTACAATGGATAGCAAAGGTTGGATACAATGGTGCATCTATAATGGATAGCAAAGCAAAGGCTGGCCCTCCATGTGTTAGAAAGACAGCTTCTATCAGTGCTTGCCAACATGCCAAATGGTGAGCGATTCTGGGATATGCAGTCCAACAACATCTGGAGGGCCATAAATTGCACACTGTAGTGAAAGGAAAAGAAATGCAGGGAGTTTTGAAGAGAAGCATTAAAAATCCTTGTTCATCTGTCACCTATCATACCATACTTTTCGATACCAATTCAAGCAAGCCTTACTAGAATAGAAACTAGCTGTTTCCCAGTTCACACTTTATTGCATTGTTTGCTTTAGGCAAAATGCCGCAACTCAACACTGACTGTCCATGTTTCTCCAGCCCTTCTTCACTATGTTCTCAATGCTGGTGCTGCTAGAAAGCTTACAGTCAAATGAAGGATGAGGAGAAAAAGGGAGAGCTGGTCAGGTGAGAGACAAGGAAGTGGAACTCCAATGTCAGAGGATTTCTTAAACGAAACATGCCTGTGTGAGATCTAGGATGGTGTAGTAGTTGGGTATTAGGTTATAACTCTGGAGGCAAGGGTTCAAATCCACACTCAGCCATGGAAGCCCACTGAGTGATCTTGAGCAAGTCATGGTCTCTCAACCTGAGAGAAAAGTAAAGGCAATCCATCTGTGAACAAATCATGCCAAGACAACCCAATGATATATTTGTTGGATGATACAGATGACGACCTTGGACACAGCGTGGGAGATAATACATACATATATGGATATAGATATTGACTTGACTGGAGAACTTTAGCAAAAGTACAAAGTAATGCTTCTGAATGCTGCAGCTTTGTCGGTGCATAAGAAAAAAAACACCACATTGTGAAGAACCTGTTGTGTGCCCTTAAAATGCTCCCTTTGGCTTAACCTGGCGTGTTCTGAGATTGTTTTACGAGCCTATTTCCGGCTAAAGATGAAACCTTTTCTCCTCTCTTTTCCTTCACATGAAATCTTAGATGGGCCCTTTAAAAAATTCTGCCAGAGAATGTGTGTTGCAATGTGTCACATGTGCAATTCATGCTCTCCTGTTTCTGGTTGGAGGGAGGCGAGTGAGTGGGTGGGGGAAAAACATATCCTCAGGAGGAAGAGAGCTGTTAAATCATTTCAACTCATTTAGTGATTCAGTCTGTTGGCGACTTGTTGAAAGTCTTCCGCACGCTTGTTTCAACTTACGAGAAATCAATGCCATATGCATGAGTAAGCCATCTTTTCAAGATACGCCTCTGTGTGCTTTCCCTCTTAAACAGAAGCAGGGTCTGCCTTCTGGAAGGGAAAACACATGTCACCGCAGCTGGCTTCAATTCTTCCTCTTTCCCCCTGCACTCCCTGACTGTTATTGAATTATGAGCCCAGGTGGCCCTTTCAGCCTTTCCCACCCTGGGGCCCTTGGATTGGGTTGGTCTACAACTCCCACCAAAGCCCAGACAGCAAGAGAGTGCCTGCGGATGATGGGAGCTGTCTCCAGCACATTGGATAAACCCCAGGTTGAGTGAGCTGGAAAAGAGCATGGCATTTTGAGTGTGCATCTACACTATAGAATTAATTCAGTTTCAGACCATTTGAATTGCCACGAATCAATGCTTTGAGAATCCTGAGAGTTGCAGTGTAGTTTTTAAAAGACTTTACTTCTCTAAATAGCGCCAGTGTCTTCCCACATTACAATTCCAAGAATTCCATATCATTGAGCCATGACAGTTTCAGACTGCATTAATTCTTCATTTTAAATGCATCTTAAGACTTAGGAGGACATTGAGGCCCCATCGACACTGCCATATAATCTAGTTTCTGAATCGAGATTATCTGGTTTTTGAACCAGTTAGAGTGTTAAGATCAGTTGGGGAGGTCCTTCTATCAGTCCTGCCACTCTTGCAGGTGTGGTTGGTGGGGACGAGACTCCGTGCCTTCTTGGTGGTGGCCCCTCGGCTGTGGAACTCCCTCCCCAGTGAGATTAGATTGGCCCCCTTCCTCCTGCCATTCAGAAAACAGCATAAATCTTTGCTGCGTAACCAGGCATTCGACGCAGCAAATGACACCATTATGCAAGCATCTGAAGGAAACCATGGGATCGATAGAACGTTAAATGTTTTAATACCTAATTTTTTAATGTTTTATGGTTATACTTATGTTTTTAATGATTTAATTGATGGTTATATGTGATTGCTTTTAGACTTGTAATGTTTTTAATATGGATGTGAGGCATTGAAACCTTGCTATTTACTATGTTGCGAACCGCTTTGAGCCCCCAGGGTGAGAAATATATAAATAAATATATAAATATAAATATATATATATATATATATATATATATATATATATATATAAATAGGATTTATTTAGACTCATATAATCCAGTTCAAAGCAGATAATCTGGATTCAGAAACTGGGTTATATGGCTATGTCGATTGAGCCTGAGTGTAAAGATACATTATGAAAACCAGAATCGTCCATGCAGTACATAGTGTTTCCAGTTTATCTGTATAGTTGTGGAAGCTGGACAGTGAAAAAGCCAATAGGAAGAAAACGGACTCATTTGAAGCATAGCGCTGTAGGAAAGATTTACAGATACCTTGGACCACACACACAAAAAAGACAAATGAAGGGGTCCAAGTGCAAATTAAGTTCGAATTCTCATTAGTTGGTAAAAGTGGCTCTGTAGGTATGTGTAAGTCGTCCAGCATAAATCCATGGATAACTACCACTGGAATTGCATAAAGGACCTACAGGTGCCTAGAGCAGTGTCTCTCTAGGCATTTGCAGGTATTCCAGTACAATTCTGTGTTAACTTCTCCCAGAATTGCACTGGAGAATTTACAAGTGCCTAGAAAAGTGTTCTGACACAATTGTAGTGTCAGTTTCTGCTGGAATTATACTAGAGTTCCTAGATAATTGTTCTCTGTAGTGATGTGTAGGTCCTCCAGTGCAATTCCATGATCAGCTTCCACCAGAATCACACTAGAAGATCTAAAAGCACTTAAAGAAGTGTTCTCTCTAGGCATTGTAGCTCCTCCAGTGCAACTCTCTGGTCAACTTCTGCTGTAATTTGTCTATCTTTGGATAAGATGCATATACTCCACCCCACTCATGGCGTGATTGACCTTCTAGTCACCATGAGGCAGAGCTTGAAATTGTTACTTATTTAACGTACATACCTTGGACTCCTAAAGTCAGCATGGGCAGTGGTCACAATAGCTGGAATTTCCTAAACCCAAAAGTCTCATTTCCAAAATCTGTGTTGAGGCCAGAAGAATAAGAATTAGGTGCTAACAGAGACAACACTTTAACATATTTTTCCCCAAGAGATGAGCAATAGGGATTTTCACAGGGTAGTTTTCAGAAGAGGAGGTCTAAGCATGATATATAGTGGCAGTTGGAGTATGTGTGTATTTAGTAAGTTTTGCACATACGTTTGTGAGAACAGACACGTAAAACAGTGAACAGTAGGTTCAACGGGTGAGTTATTTATTCCCCAACAAACCTGGTGTAACTGCACTAAGCCAGGGAAAGCTTAAAAATGAAACTACATCTTAGCAAGAAGGAAAAGAGTGCCGTTGTGTTGTTGAAGGCTTTCATGGCTGGAATCACTGGGTTTCTGTGAATTTTCCAGGCTGAATAGCCATGTTCCAGAAGCATTCTTTCCTGACATTTCACCCATATCTATGGCAGGCATCCTCAGAGGTTGTGAGTCTGTTGGAAACTAGGCAAGTGGGGTTTATATATCTGTGGAATGTCCAGGGTGGGAGAAAGAACTCTTGTCTGGGTTGAGACCTCACTACCTCTGAGGATGCCTGCCACAGAAGCAGGCGAAACGTCAGGAGAGAATACTTCTAGAACATGGCCACACAACCCGAAAAACCTACAACAGCCCAGTGATTCCAGCCATGAAAGCCTTCGACAACACATTGAACTCTTGTCTGTTTGAGACAGGTTATTTTTATTTATC